GGTGAAACACTGGAACAGGTTGCCCAGAGAGGTGGTGGAGGCCCCATCCCTGGAAACATTCAAGGCCAGGTTGGAGGGGGCTCTGAGCAACCTGATGTGGTTAGTGGTGTCCCTGCCCCCTGCAGGGGGGTTGGGCTAGATGACCTTTTGGGGTCCCTTCCAACCCAAAACATCCTATGATTCTGTGAGTCTCCCTGCTGCCCAGGCACCCACTGTCCTCACCTCCGTGTTTCAGCCATGAGCTGGCAGCACGCGTGCCCGCCCCAGCTAAGAGGCCAGGCCAGGCCATACCTTGCTGACCCACATTGAAGCTCTTGGGCAGGTGCCCGCTGTTAGGCAAGGGGGCAGGGCTGCAATTCAGCGCTGCTCTGCTGCTCTTTCAACTGATGGGAGAGCTGCTCCTCCTGGGAGTCAGCACCAGTCTGTCTGTTTTTCATAGAATCATGGAATTGTTTAGGTTGGAAAAGAACCGTAAGATCAAGCTCAACTGTAAACCTAATGCTGTTAAGTTCCCCACTAAACCACATCTCTGCATCTTTTAAATGCTTCCAGGGATGGGGACTCAACCAGTTTCCTGGGCAGCCTGTTCCAATCCTTCATAACCTTTTTGGTGAGGAAATTTTTCCTAATACCTTGTGTAAACCTCCCCTGGCACAACTTGAGGCCATTTCTTCTTGTCCTATCGCTTGTTACTTGGGAGAAGAGACCAACACCTGCCTGGCTACCCTCTCCTTTCAGGCAGTTGTAAAGGGCGATAAGGTCTCCCCCCTCAGCCTCCTCCAGGCTACACAACCCCAGTTCCCTCAGCTGCTCCTCATGAGACTGGTGCTCCAGACCCCTCACCAGCTTCATTGCCCTTCTCTGGACATGCTCCAGCGCCTCAGTGTCTTTCCTACTAGGGGAAAAGAGCTATATGTATGAGGCTAATGGCCATTAAAAAGGGATCCTAGTTCTGTTAGGAGGATGTTGAAAAAACCTGTGCCATGCAAGATTTCAGTATTTAATTGTCTTTTTTAACATGCAAATGGGCATATGAGCAGACTAGCTTCCACAGGGGGTATTTAGAACCTAGAATGGCAGCATCCCTTCCCTCTCAGTATTGTTCTTTCTATTTTATGGTTTTGTTGTCATTGTTTTCTATTACTCTCTGTTTCTCTTAACTCATAATATGGAGCTAGCTGTTTCCAAAATAAAACCTCTTGGGATTTTTCTTACTAGGGACTTTCTTTTCCTTGTGAGATGCTTTTTTTCCCTATTAATGTTATGTAAGATTAGGTACAATATTTTGCTGCTCATTCTTACAGGATGATTCATTTTCCAGTTCTGTTTTCCCTGGTGGCTGCGCTTGCAAGTATTACTCGCTCTCAGCAGGATTTCTTACTAAGGTAATTCCTGCTCTGTAGACTATAAATGGACAGGATCAACCCAGGTTCCATTTCCAGAAAGGTTGGAAGGGAGGACTGAAAGCAACGTATCAAATTTGGGGGAGGGCAGACGTAATGCCACTTACTCCACCACTTAAAAATGTCTATTTAAAGGCACTTACTGCATTAGACTTACAGTTTCACACCCCAAAGGTGATAAACATGGCTGAGGATAATAAAGCCTTTGTGGATGAGATAGATAAAGCACTGGCGAAGTCTGAAGGGCTTACCTTGAAGGATCTGCTCTTCTCCTACCGGGGGACCCCGTATCCTGTCACAGTGTGCAGTGCGGAAACATTCCAAGCTCTGGAGAACCTGGAAGCCAGAAGAGATGATATGGTGCTGGTGTCCTACCCCAAATGTGGTGAATACATTATAAATTGCTTTCTGTAGTCTACAATACTGTCACTAATTAGCTGACGCAATGAGAAGGAAAACCAACGGATCGTGGTTGTATCTTGCATGGGGATATTGAGCATTTCTACTACAACCAGAGGCAGCAGGTGTTTGTCCTGCTTTATCTGAATTTAAGCAGTCTGTTGCACTGCTTTTTAATGTGGTTTATGTTTATGAAAGGAAAAAAAGTTTTAGTGTTCAAAGGTATTTTTGGCTGAAGAAGCGAGAATAAAGTACATAGTTTTTTATATATCAGTGGGACAAGACAACCAGTATGATAAACGGCATTCTGGAAATCGTGTTAGTAATGTGATGCAGTGTAGTGTACAAAAGCAATAAAGTTATGCATTAAGCTCTTTAAGGTGTAGAAAGTGAGATGGCACAGCATCTTTACTTGCAAAATTGTAAGCTGTTTCTTGGCATTGTTGAGTATCAGCATTGGTTTTTGTTTTGTTACTGAAAAATGGTATTGACTAAGGCATACCAGAAGTCTAAATCTTTTAGTCAGAGGTTTGCAGAAAGGAGGAAAGGTGCAACAGGAGCAATGAAAAAACCCAAGCTGATTTTGATTAGTTTTATTAAATGTCAGTTGTGACACGGTTTTGCTAATCTAGGAAATCCCATCCAAGCATATGTTTCTTCTTTGAGACCCAAGCAGCAGACGCTTAGGGTTGTTGGAGAAAATGTGGGTCCAGGGAAGGATATCATTGCACTAGTGTGGTAGTGGATGAGGTCAAGTTGGGCTCTTAACCAGAGGGTTCTAAGTCAAGGTCTCATTCAGCACATAGAATTCCCGTTGGTTGGCAGGTTCTGATCTGCAAAGAGACTGGGGTATATTTAGGGGCTTAAGAAGTATGCCTGTAGTGTTTAGGGTGAATTTATAGCAGCTGTGAGACAGGACAGTGAACCAAGAGAATGAGAGGGCAAATGAAAAAGGAGGGAGCTGGCACAAAATGTGAGCTGTGCCCTTGTTCTGGCTTGCGCTTTATGGAGAAAGCAACAGGGACAACTGAGGACAAGCACTGGCAGTGACACTGAATAGGTGACTCCATTTCATCCTTGACCAGGGCAGCAGAGAGAGGCAGACACTTTCTTCAGCAGAATGAACGAAGCCCCTTGCTCATTCCTCCCTTCTCTGATCCAGATCCTTCACAGGTGTTCCTCTGCAAAAGACAGGAAAGCTCCTGTTATAAGTGAGCCAGGGAGGTCACAGTTAAGAAGCTGTTGAGGATCTCGTTAATGGAAACCATTATTTTGTTTACAATCATGTGAGAGCTTTAGTGTTATTTGTCATTTGATGACTGTCTATTATGCTGAATTAAGCCATGTAATGAAAAGGCTCTGAGATCTTATAAAAACTTCTGATATGTTTTATTTTGTTCTCTGGGTTTCTTGGTGCAGGTGTGAACTGGCTTATCCAGATTTTAAGTGATTTGATATTTACAACTATGCAGAGTAAACCTGTAAGCACAGAACTACCATTTATTGAATGTGGAGATCCAGATAAATATCAGGTTAGTGAAAAGAAACTATTGAACCACTTAAAGTCTGTTGTTTTTGCTCTCCTGCACACATGCCCCCTCCCCCAAAGTTATTAAAATGCAGTCATGCAGCAAGTGAAGGTATTTCTCCTGAGAGGGTCAAAAAGATAATCTTGGATTACTAATGCCTTTTGATTAGGGGCTGTTTCACACAGGCGGCTCTCACAGATCATTGCTACACACATGTAATAAACCTGTTCTCACTTATGGTTCTGTTTATTTCTAAAGAGGATGAAGCAGATTCCATCTCCACGGATTTTGGCAACACATCTGAATTATGATTGCCTCCCCAGGTCTATTTTCAAGAACAAAGCCAAGGTGGGCTTTTTTCTTTTTCCAAGAACAAGCCTCATCTCTGACAGTACCAACATGCAAGAGTAATCTTGGGGCCACATCCTTTTCTTGTGCCCAACCAGCTGCCACTGGCAAGTTGAAGACAGTGGGATGCCTGGGCTGGCTTAGCACCCGCTACAATTTACAGTAACCTTAGGAGTGCTGTGGTTGACATAGACAAGAACAGATCTAGAGGCTGTTGCAGTGCTCAGAAATAGCTGGAGTGTCACGCTTTCATTTTTTTATACTACTCTTTCCTGTGCATGATTGTGGTAGGAATTAATGTGGCAGCAGTATCTCTGGGACATTGGCTGTCTCCTTGCAAAGAGTCACACTGTTAAAACTTCAGTATTTCTTGTGCTTGGTCATTGAACAATGCTGGATACATAGCACTTAGGAGATGTACCACAGGTGGAGGAAATAATTGGTTAAGGGATGGGGATTTTTTCCATGTTTCATTGGTTTTTCTTCCTGTATGAGACAGGAAAATATATAATGCATATAACAAAAAAAATGTCTGTAACATGTTTTCAGAAGTGTTTACACTTCTTGGAAGATGACAGTCTCTTAAGATTTCAGGAACATTATTGCTATGCTTTGAAAAATGGGAGATGATTGTCACAGCTGCGGTTTCCTGAAGGAGAATTGAACAGAGCTTTTCCTAGCAAGGGGTTGGCAAATGGTTCCTTACAATTTCCCAGGTCTCAGGTAGTTACGGGATAGTATTCAATGACAATAATACAGTTTTTCCAGTTGCTTCTTTCTACAATTGCTTCATGACATAAGCAAATCTTAGAAGTGGTAACAAGGTCTTTATTATGATCACATTATAAATTTATTCTCCATGCCTTAACTAGTAAAGTATTTTATAGCCCCCTGTATGTTACTGGTTGCAGAATGCTTGGTTATACTGTCATTTTGGTTGCCAGGGGAAGTAAGTGATCTAAAATTGTTGACCTCTTTCTCCCATTCCAGATACTCGTGCTGTTTCGAAACCCTAAAGATACAGCTGTTTCATTTTTCCATTTCCACAACAATGTGCCAAGCGTCCCCAGTTACAGCTCCTGGGATGAGTTCTTCTCAGAGTTCATGAATGGGAAAGGTATTGTTATAGTTACTGAATGTAGCGGAAGAGGCAACAGAAAAAAAAAATATTTAAAAACAACTAAATGGGGCCAGTGGGAAAACAGCTGTGTCATAATTAGCTTACTGATGGCCATACGTCATGATAAAGGAGGCAGCTGAATGCCAGAATGGGGAGAATGTTCAAAAGATGCTTTGGTTCTGGGTATTTTGCTCTTCCAGGCAAGGGTGAAGGAGTTGCATGGCAGCTTGACAATGGCATTTGGTCAAAATTCTGCCACTTAGGGATGGAGAAAATGCTACAGATCTGAAGTGCTAATGAAGTGACAGTTTGTTGTCTTCACTGTTTCTGCACACGAGGCCAAACACCTCATTAGCAATCCAAATTTTAGATTTAGACTGATGTCTGGCTTTGGCTTTTTAGAGACGTTTAAATGACGATATAGTAAGAGAGGGGAAGCACATAGTGAAATTCATATTTCTGTGTGGAAACCATTTACCTACAAAAGGAAGCCTCTGTCGTTCTGTTGTACAGTATGATACCACGGAAAGGACAGGCCGGTCCGTTTGTTTGCATTGAGGTAACCAATAGGCAACAGAAGGCAATTCTTCAGTCGGAGAGAAATAAGTACCCAGTAAGAAAAGAAGGTCACACTGATGGTTTGTTCTCTTCTTTACAGTCGGCTGGGGATCCTATTTTGATCATGCAGTTGCCTGGAACAAACACATTGAGGATGAGAATACTATGATCATAATATATGAAGACCTGAAAGAGGTAAAGCAGGTGGCTGTGTACTGACAGGCAAAACACATCTGAGCCCATTCCTTGAAATCTGCTGAAATTAACAGCACAGGTTTCTGAAAGAGCAAAATCAAGTTGATTTCAGTGACAAGTTGAGCCTGGCTATACAAAAGCTGAGCTCTGGTGTAATGCAGAAAACATACTGTGAAGGCAAATAGATATTGTTAATAGCTGATGGCAATGCACATCCCAAGTGGGTAACTCCTTTTTGAGAGGAAGCATATTGCATGTCTCCCTTTCATTGTATTGCTTGCAGAACCTGACTGCCAGCATAAAGCAGATAGCTGAATTCTTTGGATTCTCCCCAACGGCAGAGCAGATCCAGTCTATTGCAGACAGGGCCACTTTCCAGGCAGTGAAGGACAAGGCGCAGGAGACTCATGGTGCTGTTGGCTCGATTCTTTTCCGCAAAGGTAAATTTGTTTGTATTTTGTCAGGGTGGTGAATGGTAGCACTGCATCTTGGGCAGACAGGAATTTGGATCAGTAGATGGTTAATCTTTCTGTATAATTTTCAAGGTTGGGAATTGTTTAAGAAACAATGATTGTGATTCAGGATGCTGTCATTTGATTTCATCACAAGGGCCAGTACCATTCGGTAAAGCCCTGTATAATGTGATTAGTGGAAGTGCCCTACAAGTAGCACACTCTTCAGTTGTGGTATGCAGTAAGCACCAGTTAAAACAAAGAAGAGTTTTATTTTGGCTTCTGTGAGTACCAGGGATAGCCTGTCACTCGGTCTACAGAGTGCCGCCACAGATTTTTCTTCTTGGGTTTTCTAAATAACCCTCATGATTGCCTGAGAACCTCATTCAACACATGGAATCCAGACACTCTACAGATTGAGCTGTGTCTTTTAGCCATGGATCAAGCTAGAGCTGTAGACTGGGAAAACCTCAGACTGTGGGCTCTCCAAAATCTAGATTAAAGGTAGGCTACAGATTAGGGCAGTGTCTGGTTGCAGTGCACAAAGCTCTTACAGTTAAAAGCCACATCTTTGAACTTTCTGGGTTGATTTCACAACTGCTGGTCATCTTTTATAGTCTTCTGCAGCTGTACAAGACACATGCCAAAGCTATGAAGGCAGACCAGTAGCTTCATATGTTTGCTTTATGTTCATGTTCTATTGAGGACACCAAATATAAGGCAAACTTAAGAGTGTATTCTTGGGTCAGAGATTCTTTTCTTGCAGGGAGAAAAAAAAAAAAGAAAATGGACTATCCTGAAGTACGATAATAAGAGAGACATGGTAGTGTTTTGTTTTAAATCATACTCCTTGGTCCCTACAGTCAAGGGTAACATTTTACTTTTATTTACATTCCAGGTGTTGTTGGAGACTGGAAAAATCTTTTCACTGAAGCTCAGAACCAGGAAATGGATGCCAAATTCAAAGTGTGCTTAGAAGGAACTAAGCTGGGAGCGAAGTTAAAATATGATGTGTACTGCAAGGCCTGAACCTCCTTTAGAGAAAAAACTCTCCAGGCTGCTTTTCATTCACTTTTATGAAATAAAACAGAAAGCAGGGCAATATCTGATGTAAAAATTTTGAAAATCCATGCAATTTGCAAACTTGTTTCTGCAGTCTTACACAAGCAATCCTTGCTCGTGCAGTTAGCATCATTGATTTCACTGGATTCTCTTAAATGACCTGTAGTTCTTTGGCCTCACTTGGTTTTTAACACTGATTTTTAGCTATGATTTGATGTTACCTGATAGAATCCTGTGTGGAATATATATATGCAGTAGTTAAACCTGCTGAAATAACTAGAAATGTATTCAGTATGTTGGAAGTGATTTTCCAAGAGATTTTGTAAAACAATCACGAAGTGGCATTTTGATTCTTAATTTCTATGTTCATAGTATTCATATGTAATTTTGATTTCTAAGTTCATAGCATAAAATGAACTTCCGAAAGGTCGTCTTGTAGTTGTCTTTTGCTACTTTCTGTGTGCTGATAAATGGGTGAAAAAATAAAGGAAGTCAGAGGTGGAAAGTTCCCCTTTTGGCAACATTTTTCTTTCCTTTGGTAGTGTGAGATCTCATCCTGAGCAATTGAAGGAATTGCCTTGGACAGAGCTTGCTCATGGAGGTCGGAGTCCCCCTCCTGGTGGTGGCTTGCTTTGTTGCTTAACCTCAACACAGGGTTACCCAGGAGGGAAATTGCAAACAGGTGTTGAGAATACCAGGATTTGTGCACATGATTGTCAGGACTCCTGAGCACCTACCCTGCTTTGGATGTTGAGGAAGCACATGAAGAAGCTCCTGGCTGGGCAGGACCCTGAGGAGCTCACTTTATGCTATCAAGGCAGGGGGGTTGGTTACCATCTGGTTGACTTGTTTGGAAGAAGGGACTCTTTAGACATGAGAGAAAGGAAGTGTGCTACTTGCCTAACTCTGGAAATGGAGCCTTTGCCTGGGTTGTCTGGGTCTGCCTGGGTTACTTTGTGCCTAACAGTAGTACATACGATTTCAGAGCCAGGATGTGGATTTTTTTCTGGATGTCTCTCTGAGAGCTTTGAAGTGCCACTGTCAAGAACAGAATGGCTCTCCTTTGGTGGTGCCAGAAGACGTGTGCACAAGACCATCAAATGTTGAATGGTCTCATAAAGGGCTGACTTTTTAGGCTGCAGTTTTCCTTTGGGAAGCTGTTTAGATGCCAGTCTTTGACAGCTGGTTGTTTTCCCCACCAGAGGCATTTCTTTATATCTGAAGAGAAGGAATAGAAAGGAAAAAGTACTTGGAGAAGGAATATGTGGGTAATGGGCACACAGTTGCTAATTTAGCCGGTAGGGGAAGTTGAAGTCTTCCTCCTCATAGTTTGTCAGCTCCTGTCTGAGAAATCATTGTCTTAAGTGTGGTAAATGACTTGGCAGGAGTGTTTGTTACAGATATGTTGGGTAAAGAATGTGCCTTAGCCAGGCTGAAAACTCAGGTATTGGGTACTTGAGGTGTTGACACAGATGGACTCTGTGAGACCTTCTGCTGCACACTTTGTTAGCTGATAGTAAACACAACAAACTCCCAGTCATTCAGTGCTAATGAAAATCCCTTTCTAAAAGTCGGCCAGTGACAGGGGAGTGATTAAGACAGGTTAACTTCAGTGCATAGTTAGGAACATCTTGCCATTTTGTAGTCAGGTCCCTACAACAGCTTGTTTGTTTGTCTTTCCTGGCATATTCCCCTTTAATTTTTTTCTGTTCTAGCCGTGTTTGCTGTAGCAATAAAACTGCACGCAGCTCACTGACAGTGCAAAAACCCTCCAGCTGCTGGTCCTTTAGGTTGACTAGCTAAGATGCCCGTGTCCCAAAAATTGGCATTTATATAGTGGGAAGAAAGGATCAATGCAGATGTGAATTTGCTCTCAAAATTAACAGCCGTAATAACGGCCATTTAAAATAAGTAAAACAGAAGTGGGGTACCAGTGAGGATTGAAGAGCAAAATAGAACACACAAAACCAAACCATATCAGAATGAAGTCGGTTAATACCAAGCAAATGAAAGTTTCAGGTCGCTAAAGCGATCTCAAACAAATCCAAGGTTCCCTATAAGCTTTACATAGGCACTGGAAAAAGCAGCAACATTCCTTGGGTATTTGCCTCAGCTGTACCTGCTGCAGCAGTAGGTCAAGATCATTACTAAGCAATTAATAAAAGGAAGTTCAAAACGCTTTGGTTGAGGGTAATGTTGAAACAGGAGCCCTACCTCCTATTAAAGTAGGTTGCCTGAAGTACTGATAGATCAGTAATAGCCAGCCTGTCCACTTGAACCGCAGTGTTGCTCAGTTTGAGATTACAGTGAAATATTCTGGGGCAGTTCAAGAGGAAATCCTAGCTCAAAATGCTAGATAGGCTACTTTTAATTTTTTACACCTTTTGGCCAGCGAGGTTATTTAAGCTGAGGTTGTCTAGCTATCTGACAGAGTATTTTATAGGTGACATTCTTAAATCCCTTCAGCCTGATCTGCACATTCTTCTCAGCACATATTCACGTACTCAGTAATTGCCAGCTGATGATGAGCATTAAAGAACATAGAATAGAAGATGAGCGAGTGTGAGGGGCGACTGATTTTTTTTTTTTTCCCCAGCTTTCTGTGTGTTGTAGGTTTGATTCTGTTAAAAATGATGTGGTGAGGTAACAGGGAAGAAAGCTGGCCATAACATCACCAGAGGAAGGGAGAATTTGTACCTTCCTCAAGCACTTAAGCACATTCAGAATGAAAAAGCGCTGTGCAGTGATTTGGGATAGTGGCATAGATGCTCAAATCCAGTATCCAGCACTAACTGCAGCTATCTACAGTAGCTAAACTAAACAAAAGATTCAAACCCAACAAAAAAATTAAACTCCTCGTTGTGGAAAGTCACCAGTCGCATATTCTTTCAGCCATACATATAGGGAGCAATTTTTGGGTATATATTTTCCATTCCTATATTTTATACTTTATATACGTTTTCCCTTTTATACTTTTCTTTTTATTATGGTACTCAGCAGTAAAACTTTAAATGGTATTTTTGACACACAACATTTAAGGAATATGTTGGATCATTCAGCTCTAAAGAAGAGGTTTTTTGGCTCCCTGGCTGCAGTTTTGATTTCATTTTTTCTGTATTTGTGACCTGCTTCACACTTCCCATTTTCCAGCAGTTGTTAGACGTTTATGATGTCTACACTTATGGTAACTGGTAAATGGTGTTCTATTAGTACTTTTGTCACCTCTATTTCCCTTATGAGCTGTTCAGTAACAATCATAAGGCGGGAAAATATATTAAAATGATATTGAAAAAGAGAAATTGGAAGTCCTCTCAGAAAAGAGAAGCATAGATGTATCTTTTGTATGCAAGAGATGGCTCCCTTGTGTGTGTTCGGGGTGTCAATAACCCAACTAAAAAGAAAAAGAATTCTGGTACTGAATTATAATAAAAGTAAAATGGAATCAAAGCAGACAGAACTGAGCTCAATTTTATCATTTACAAAATGTGAGCATTTCATATTGCAGTATTATGCAGTACATTAATTGGAAAGATAATTAATGTTGAATTACGATAGAAGTTCTGTAGAAGTACAGGGCACATATGACATCCACAGGAACATCAAATAATTTTTTTTCTGAGGGTAGGCTGGCTATTAGAAAGGCTGCCAAATGGATTTATAGTGAAGGGGGACATGGAATACAGTCATCGCAACCTTGTTATGACAACAACTGCCTGGACTTGTATTCTAATGGGGTTTTTTTGTTAAAGTCCTAGCACTTTGATCTGAATTTTGGCTGGATGATCACCTTTGGTGGGGATTAGCACCTTCTGTTTCTCTCTAACACACTGTAGAGCTTGGCGGTGGCCACTGGAAGTGTTGAAATGGACTGGTCAGTGATTGTTATGGATATTAATATTGCTGGGATTGATGCAAAGGAGAGAAACAAAGAACAACCACATTATGAATGAGAGCATACTGTGTCTGTGCTGTGTCTGAGTGCATTGCTAGAGTGCTCTGCTAAAACGTTATTTACATTCAGATGTTTATGGCCATGGATGCAACTGTCCTGCATTGCTATTGCACTTTGTAATACTTGTAGATGGGATAATGCGAAGTATTAGCTGATAAAATATTCAGTTTGCATCTGAATGGAAAGTTTTTCTTACGATCATTTGGCTTCTGCAAAAAATGTAGAGGCTCGAGGACGATAGAAAATTAGTCTTTGACTTTGCTCAAAACGTGAGGCAGTCAGGAAATGAAAGGAGGCTGGGAAACTGGTGTCTTGGGAGGCTTGTGTACTTGTGACTAATATAAGCTTATTGACATATGCTTGTGGGGTCTCCAGCGAGTTCCCTGCTGGTTTGCATTTTACAAGGCAGTGAAGCTGTTTTCATTACTACAACACTCATTAGCATTCCCCCAGCAGGTAAATAAGTCATAGTTTCATTATTGTGTATTTCTGATATATCCATAGGCAATGTATTTATATTCAGAGGAAAAAATTAGATACAAGATAATCTTAGGCATCAGCCATGTCCCAAAAAAATTTTAAAAAAACCCCATGAAAATGGAGTGCTTATATTCTTCCTTCTTCTTCATTTCTTTTCTGCAGGCACAGAGAGTGATCGGAATAACTTTTGCAGATGGCCAGGCCAGTCTCTTCTTTCATTCTGTGGGCAAATATTTATGCCATCTACAATTTTCTTTTTTTTTTTTTTTTTAATGGTCTCCCAGCACAATCCACCTTTTTTTCCCCGATGGCATGGATTTCCTAACCCCAACCCCCCCCCCCCCCCAGCGTTCTTTTCTTTTCCCCTGGCAAGCCACTGTGTTGTTCCTGACTTGCAAAATTACACGCTGCTGGACACCCGCCTTTCTTGCTGCCGTGGTACCAGCAGCATGGTCAGCCATTTATCCATCGCTATAGAAAAGCTACCTTCATGTTATTGTGCTGACAAAATATAAATAGAAGGTTTATGCACCGA